GTGTGTGTGTGTGTGTGTGTGTGTGTGTGTGCGTGCATGTGTGTGTGTGTGTGTGCAAGATGGCCGCCACAGCTAAGTGGCTTCATCAAAAACAAACATGACTACAACTGAGTCATTTTTTTAGACGCTGAGACTAATTTTAGCTGCAATTTCAGTTTAAAGCTCTGGGTAATTTTTTCAAATAATGCTGGATTTGAATTTGATTGAGACGATTTGATTCAAACAGTTGGTGTAAACTTTTCCACTGACAGCATCCCATCACCTCACTCAAGTAATTTCAAACATATCGATTCCCAGACCTCTCCCCTGACACGGCTGGCTGCGGCGGACATGTGCTTGGCGTTTAACAGCTCAAGGTTATTTAAAGAGATGTGCTATCTTTGCCCGTTCCGCCGCCCCCAACAAATTCCGTCTGCTTCAGTGGCTCGTTGAGCAGGTGGACGTTTGATGCTGGCCCAGTCAATGGTCGAAATGCGCTCTCCTTGCTTTTGTTTCCTGTTGTTCGTCTGAACAGCTTGTGCTGAGGTATCTCAAGTGCCTTTTTTATTTATTAATTTTTTTTTATCTAACAACTTCCCAGAGGGCAGCCATGTCGCAGTTCTCCACCATGACAACCCGGGAAAAGAAAATGCAGGCAGCAGCAATCTGCAGAGAAATTCATGGCCCCGAAGGTACTTGAACGCAACATCCTCTCTTAACATTGTTGCACGTCCCCTTTCATTTCAGGTTCCAGTTTTTCCCCACCTTCTCTTTATTTATAATTAGATTTATGAGTTTAAAGGAATAGCTTTGATTATTTGGGGTCATGTGAAGCTCTTACAACTAGTCACTGTCTAACCTGTAGTTGATAATTATCAGCCCACTCTAAATTCAGATAAGCAGGGAGACAAGACAAGCTGAACAGATGAATTTGAGCAATTATTAGCATTATTATCTTACCTGCTGTAGATATCTCTGAACAACCTCAGCTCTAATCAGAATAACGAGCAAATGCCTAGTCAGAGTAAGACAAAAACTAAAGTCCAAATTGAAATTGTTTTAGGCAACAATCTGTTTTGGCATTAGCACAACTTAGATTAGCCGTTAGCTCGTCAGTCCGGCCAAAATGAAACTGATCTACAACAAGAGAGATGTTAATTGGTATTATTTATTTCCTCAGAAATTCACTTTAAAAATCTTAGCTAGTTTAATTTGATTTTATAATCAAAATTGTACTCGACACAAGGAATTTTGGTATCCGAGTAAATACATGGCTAGTACTGTTCATTGTATAATTGTTATTTTAYCTTTAGTTAGATTATGATAAAACACAGGACAAAGATTTTAGGCAAAAAAAAGTATTAACTAACTACAACAAAATAAAATGATTTAACATGATAAAGATAAAATAATTACTCTATTACTTTCTACTTCACAAAAATTATTGATGGCAAATAACAAAAAATACAATAAATAAAAATAAAAAAACAGCAACAACACAAGAAACATATTAAAATAACAATGTTAGAAATGCAACAAAAAATAACTTCCACACAGGGACAAATTAGACAATTTTCTAATTTGTGAAAAATAAAGTCAGTAGTGCAAATAAAGTGTAAACAAAAGAATGGATCTCATCACGCTAGTATTAATCCAATATCAATACTCATCTTGGTATCGATACTTACATCGATATGCCCTCTCGTACTTTCTAGCAAGTATTTGCCCACAGTTTTCCAGTGCAACAGATGCCCACCTTCCTAAGTCTATGTAAATRAGTAAATAAATATTTTTAGAAGCCAAAAAAGGGATCCCTTTGTTGCTGTCCTTTGAACATGCTATTTCAGGGTGAGAACAACTGTGTGATTTAGACTAGGGAGGGTCTGAAGGCTACTGACAGCTGCAAGATATTCTGGCAAATTATGCATCTGGTGACATCTCTATGATCAGCACGAGGAGCAAACCACAAATCAAGCATCAGGCAGGAGCTGATGGATCATTCATCATGGTGGCAGAAATGCCACATCAGCAGTGTAAAATGACTTCTTTTCCTTTGGTGTGGATGTATTTTTAATTTAGCATGGTTTGATTGGTTTGATTGATTATTGTGAATGTACTGAATACACCAGGGTTCTTAAGTCTTTTCCCTCTTTTACTGTTTCTTAGATGTACAGATGGATCTTGGGAAAAAAGTCAGCGTTCCTAAAGACATCATGTTCGAGGAGCTGTCTTTTGCTTCCAACAGGGGCTCCCGGCTCTTCAAAATGCGCCAGAGACGCTCTGAAAAATACACTTTTGAGAACATCCAGAATGAAACCAACCAGCAGCTCAATGTAAGAAAATATCCACTCCACAGTTTTCAGATACAAGGAAAAACCTGGTTTGTGCGATAGCTCCAATAAACACTAAAAACACTCATGCTCTTCTCAAACACATCGCTTTAATTAGCACAAGTTATGATTCCATAAACCCTTCAAATATTTAAGTGTAAAAAAACTGACTGAACCACTGAGTCCTGCATTTGAATCTACCAAAAGTAGTTTGTTTTCCCACATTATTTAATGTAAACAAAAACTTTTGTGTAAACACAGCTTTTAACAAAAGTCATGGCATGTCATAATTAAAAGCTTAAGTCTTTAATTATCGAGCTWCACTTGGGAGAGCTTTTTAAAACCAAAAGCTTTGAGGCATTAAGTCTTTTCTGTGCCCAGCTTTATTTTCAAGTTATATGAGAGACAAACTGAAGTTTTGATATTAGATAATATGACATGTTGGACTTGACCTGACCTGATGCGACCTGACATTATGATTCGATGCCATGCAATAAGATAATCCATTATATGTTATATATGTTATGACAAGACAGGTGAGGATGTGACCTGACCTGCAATACAATACGACACGATATGATATAACGCAATGTGATGGGATCCAATATGATGCAATACTATACGATAGGATACGATATGATACGACATGATACGATACGATACGATACAGTACAGTACAATAAGATACGGTACGATACGATACAATACAGTACGGTACAATAAGATACGATACGATACGATACAATACAGTACGGTACAATAAGATACGATACGATACGATACAATA